TATATATATATATATATATATATATATATATATATATATATATATATATATATATATATTAATCTATCTATCTGCGAAGTCAGTATCATTGTATGAAGCTTTGAAAATAAAGCTGTCATTATCTGGAGACAACATGTTTTAAAGAGACAGAGACGATACAAGTTAGTGGCATCTTAAAGAATCCTACTCGTTAGAAGGCGAAGCAATATAATACTAAGTTACAAATATATTCACCTATATATAAGCACTCCCCACGCTCCAGTCTCTGCAGTCTAAACAGATGTGGGCGTGTGGCCGTTGTCTTTGTGTGGCGCACTTACCCGCGTGCGCCTGATATGTGGTCTTGAATGAACGCTACGAAATAACCGGAATTGGCGCGTAAATATTTTGATTAGAATCTGCAGTCCTGGACAAGTGACGCTGTGTCAGGGCCCACAGGGTCGTGGTGGGAGTGATATGACTTGTGAACCACTTCAAAAACCAAATTACGTTTTTGATGTGGCCCTCTTTCTTGGAGTGCAATGTTGGAATTATTAGGTGCAATTTATAAATACTATTTGGTGTTATGGTCCGATTATATTCAAAATTTGGTTATATTAGACCCGTATTTTCCATAGCGTTGGAATATTTAATGGCTATACGTTTACTTTCATCGTATACGCTGAACGACCATAATTAGTAGAGTCAGCCGCCAGGTCTGCTTGACATTGGGACTTGGAAAGTTGGACAGTGGGGACCTGCGGGCTGGGGTTTGGGTCACTGGTGACAGGATTGTGGACTGCTCTCTCTCTGGTAGTGGGTAGTACTAGTATATTGTGGGGAACTGAACCCCCGGGACTGTGAGAGATCCGGCAACACTATAAAAATAAATATGTAAACGCCGGCGAGATCTGTTCGTACATACTATTTCCATATCTGAGGCTGACACGATAGTCATTTCAACGAAGTGCACAGGCGCACACCTAGGTATATATTTGTCTTTGTGTTAGTGTGTGTTCAGGTACGTGAGTGCATGAGACTACAGACATCTTCACTGTATGCACACATGTCATTGAGATATTGGTACCGCAAACAAGTGATATGAGCTTACGTGCGAAACTGCAAGTGGTTGTCAAGGGCGGGCTGAATCCCTTACACATACTAGCGCACGCATTCATTTAATTTGAATGGTCACTTCGCATCCGATATTTGATACTGATTGCGTTTAGAGACCGCGTGAAAGCTCCCAAACTTAACGGTTTCAACTGTGTATTTTCGGATGGTAAGGTTCAAAACTGGTGTCTGTGTCAAAGCGCGCCTCGGCATGCAAAATCTTCATGGCCACCCTAATGTTAAGGGTAGAATGGGTGCATTAATAGGTGCACACAGGCCCTTGCAGAGTAACGAATCTCTACCCAAAGTGCTTAAAGGGGTTAAGGCATCTCCAACATCAATCAGCAGAGTGGGGTCGCACATGGCTGACGTGAGTGAGAAAAGCGATAACAAACACATCAACACCTCTGGGAAGGTTGGAAAGGTTGGAAAGGGTAAATCAAAAGAAATCGAACGCACTAAGAAAAAATATGAGGTACACAAAGATGAAAAGGGTGGCGTAGACGCAGTCATTGATAACGCTGGGCACACCGAAGGTGTTTCGAAGAAAAGGGATGGGAAGGCAAAAGACCGCAAGAAGAAGTCCAAAAACCGAGTTTCACGGAAACTCGACTTCGCAAAACCCAAATTCAGTAGAAGATGGTGGTCGCAAGAACGTCTCAAACACTACGTCACACCCATCGGCACCGTCTGCCATGCTCAGGACTATGTGGACGATTGGTAAGTGTACTTGTGTACTTGTTCCTATGAATCGGCAACCAATCTGACTGAACGAAGTGTGTGGCAATGTATACATGCGAACGCATACTGATATGTATACTCGCGCACAAGATTGTTTGTGTATAGCGAGTATCTGCGGGGTTTAGTCTTCCAAGGCAATTGTTTTTTGGGGGGCGTATGCTGACTGAATCCTAATCGCTGTTCTAAATTCTAATCGTAAGTAGAGAATTGGATCTGGGGAAATGACTAATCACACAATTGAGATAACCCCAGTGAACGGATGTACTACATTATCTTGTCAGGTACACAGACAACGCTCGGGCACACCCACAGTCACAAGAACGCACCCTGGTGGCCCCATGATTGCCATTGCACATAAGTACTCGCCCAAGATAGGAATGCAAGTTACCGTCATGTATCTGTGGGAGATCATACATTAGTATGCGCAGAACGGCGTGTACTTGGCATTGAAACAATAGTATGCGCATTTTTGTACATGCATGTATGCCTCTAAATGCGCAAATGTCCCTGGAATCCCCGATAGCAAAAGTCTGTTTGTATACACACTGCGATTTTATTGTCCTATAGTACGAACAAATTACTGTCGGCGCATATTGATACACAAATTTGTAAAGCGTACGCTCACCTCATTTACTTTCCGACTTAAAGGTGCCCAACTCATAGATGGTAAAGGCCCACACTTAGACGTATACTTATACTTTTCTGTTTCCACGTATAGGTACGTAGGGTATGTGCAAGATTCGAGGCCAGGTGAGGTGTGGATCCGTTTCGATGGGTATGGTTCGGCTGACAATACCTGGTTCGCAAACTCAAGCACTAAACTGGCACCAGCAGAACTCACTACAGAAGAAAGAGAGGAGTGGAAGAAGATCTTCCAACGGTGAGTTTGTTTCTCTATATATTGAAGCTTCTGTGGAATACGTATTATAACACTATATGCTATATAATCTGAGGTATTCAGAACGAAGAATGTGACTGTTTGATTATTATTGCTTGCGAACCTGGGTTTGCTTAGGATGTTCCTCTGACAATAATATCTCAATTCGACTACTGTTAGGTGAAGACGCACTAAGCTGACTAAAGAAACATATTTCTTACACTAGCACATATTTAAAGACTTGTCCGCCACATGCTTGTCAAACTCTGTACGTGATTACAAATGCGTGCTAGTAGATCAACCAACAGACGATTCATCCATTCTGTATGTGCGCACAGTGATATTGAGAAGGAAGCTCGGGGAGTGCGCGAAGTCACCACAAGCGCCGCTGAGAGTGCCGAGGATGTCGGTACAAGTCCTGAGCAACCAGAGGTTTTGCCATCAGGTGGGCTATACTTTTGCCTTCTATCTGTGCTTCACTTAATATGGCTTGTTATGATAGTTAAATAGACACATGTGCTGTGTGGAGTCTCCATAGAGCAATCGAATTCGAATAAGTTCACACGACTTTAAAGCAGTTCTATGATCGCCGAAATGGCCTTCGTCATTTCTCGACTTTTACTTTACCTAAATTTAACAAGAAATATATAAATATTCGTTGTCTAATCCACATTATCAATTTAGGCATTTTCTATAAACTATATCTTTGTACTATTTACATGTGTGAACATATATGTTACATGATAGCATATGATACGCAACGCACGTATGAATAGTTTATACATAGGAGGCACAGTGAACTAGACATATCGTACACACATAGAAGGACAGTTAGCTAAAGTTCGCGTGTGTCTCATGACGAGCAGGGACCAAAAGCCGACCTGTATATGCCGGTACATCTGCGGAGGAAAATGCGATGGATAAGGTGGCTTCCAGGATAACTCATACTAGAAAATCTACGGGTAGGTACTAATGTGATACTCGTACTGAGATCTCTGCGTGTATAAGCCTAGTGATAGTGAATCTATGCAAAAGAGCTCATTTTCAATCTCTCCAATGTGTGTTTTGGTTGGGCTGTAGTGCCAGACCTTATACACAAATATACCTATGTATGTATGTATGTATATGTATATATATATATATATATATATATATACATATATACGTATGTAGATATATGTATATATGTATATATACATTAATAATAATATATATATATATATATATATATATATATTATTAAATGTAGATATACATATATTTAATTACACATATATATATATTTATACTTGTATATGTATAAACATGCATATGTATGTATGTGCCTTCATGCATACATACATACATCAATCCATACATACATACTTACCGCACACGCATACATACATATGTACATAAATATGTGCATGCATATATATATATATATAATTATATATATATACATCATACATACTTGCATATATATACATTCATACATACATACATACATACGTATTTATATAAATCCAATCTTAGGTACATATATACGTTCTGTCACACATATGTATATATATAGATATATATATATGTGTGTGTGTGTGTATATATATATATTGTAATTGAATTGAATTTGGTGTGTGACATGTGTGACACTGATTCCAAGTGTCATGTGACGCTGAGTCCGCGAGTGGACTTGTGTGTATAGTGGTGAGTTTTGGAATGTGCACGACATACATAAAACATGGTGGAAAGATGTAAACTAAAGACGTACTTTATGTAAGCCAATAGATTGCGTACATAAAACTAAGTTACTGTGTCTGGGTATGAGGATTTAAGTTATTCAAAAAGTAGACTTAAAACTGTATATTATATAGATTTTGGCGACAGTACCAGAAGGCAACGGTCACCATCAGTAAGGCCGGCAGTTAGTGCCCATAGGGAACTAGTCTGTTGTAGGCGCTATAAGGGCGAGGGCTGGCGTGTATAAGTAAATACCATGAAGTCGTCAGTCTTCATAGTTTCTAGGAGCTATTACACTACTCTAGTACGCAGTAAAGGTTTCATATATTCCAGTTTGGATTCGTCAGTTTTGCATATATATATATATATATATATATATATCAGATATGTGCATATAAATATGTATATACAAATCAGTAGTCAACACTATTCTTTCTCACGATCTTTATTTGCCCCTTTCGCTAAACTTTAGTCTCGCCATCAAAGTCGAGCAGTCGTCGACGTGAAACTGTCTCCACTCCTGATAAGATTGCGAAAGGTGAGGTGAAATGTTGAGGTAGAAACTCTAACGTGACCTTCCTACTTCGATATTGCTAGTTTTATATATCATGTGTGGACTCGCGAAAATACGATTTATTGTTTCCAGACACTGTAGGTTCGATCCTCGAGCCGTCGTACGTCTACAATTCTGAGTCTTCTGATCTGACTGGTACTCACTATATCACTGCATGCGTGAATGCAACGACTGCCCCATATACAAGCAACATGCTTACGCATTTCTTCCAGTTAACTATATACCACAAACTGCATGACTTGGCAGGAGAAAAATGTATTGTGTGGTGTGGAGTATTACCAACGGACACGATAGTTTTTACTGATATACGTGATTGTATGTACGTATAGAACAGTGTGTAGTTCGGTGATATGTAATACACTGCGCGAGCTCGGAACAGCCTTCCCCGATTGTGGAGGAAATTGGACGCTCGACTTCGCACACCTCCACACTTACAGGCAGTTTGAATCTGTTAATTTAAGGGGGGGGAATGTATTATTCGCTATATAAAAAATCTCTCTGACCTTTCCTCATAGCGCGAAGACCGACGACCGCGAAATCACAAACGGCAACTAAGATCAAAAGCTCCGACAGTTTAATAAGTGGAACTCACAGCTCAAATACAGAGCCCAGCCCAGCCGTGAAGGAAGAAGTTGTTATCGATCTCTGTTCTTCTGAAGACGAAATAACAACGCAGTTGCTACCACCACAAATGATATCAGTGGATAATATGGTTCATGCCGTTCCGCTGGAAAGAAAGTACACACCCAAGAAGAATGGGCATGCAGAAAAGAGTGCTACATCGCACGTGCGTTTAGAGCACAGTGTGCAGGCAAAAGCCGACGTTGGTGTGAAAACTGAGGCTGATGCAAGTGTACATCCCAACGCCGATGCGTCAACTAGTTCAAATGCATTAAGCGAAATCCACACAGAAGACAGTAGCAGCCACCCGAAACATATAGATGACGCTTCAATCTCAACCACCATATACAATTCTGATGACCAAACATCGGGCCGCACAACGACTGCTACGCCAATTAAAACTGAATTTGATTTAGCTTCTGACCGTGACATATCAGTCTCTATTGGGATACATGCACCGGAGACACAGGGCAGCAGTGCGGTACAGGTTGAGCCTGCAAAAGGACCCCCGCGTCGTATTCGCACACGGAGCATAAACGGTCCGGTGAGTCCGATTAAGGGACGCAAGAACGGCAAAGGGAAGAACACTACCGGTAGACGAGCGCTAGAGATGTTGCTGAACTCTGCAAGTCAGCTCGTAGGCTCCGATTCAGATGAAGATGAGCCTATACTTAAGACGAACCGCGATGTGCACCAACAAAGTACAGAACATCCGAGCCCGCCGGTTTATATGCCCCTCTCAGATATGCCTCTCTCTGAGTCGCAGGAGAAGCGCGATCGATTTTCTGATAACACAGGGGATGTTGTCCTTCGAAAGAGTATGTCATCACTGTTTGGATCGCATCGAATGCATGCTATTTGCGATTTATTCGATTTCGATCAGCTGAGCGACGCTCATATTCGTGTGCCAAGCATTCTTTTATCTGATGTCAATGGCACCTCAGTCAGGGTATGATAAGTCGTGTTACATTCACATACGATATGTATATATGTATTTATATCTACTTCCACAAATACATACATACACTTATATATTATCATTATTATTCTTATTATTATTATTATTATTTTATTATTATTATTATCATATAATACTATATATATATGCATGTATGTATGTATGTCTATATATATATATACGTGTGTGTGTGTTTACATCTACGTATACATACACGAATATATATATGTATATATATCTGTACGTGTGTTGCTGTGTGTGTGCGAGTGTGCTTGTGTGTATATAGATGAAAATATATTTATATATATATGTGGGTGGGTGTGTTTATGTATATGCATATGAATACACATATTTTTGTATGTGTGTGCGAGTGTGTATCTATATATATATTTATATATTGGCATTTCATTTACCGAGCTTCGGATTGCATACGGGCTTGGCCAAGGCACTATTCTCCCCCACGCACACGCCCACACACTTTGCTGTTTGTTTTTCTGTTGCCTTATTGTATATTGCCCGTAAAAAAAACTAAATCATGCAAACAGCTACGATGGATTCGTATTCCGCTAAATTTGCCAGAATTCTTTCTTTATATCTTTGCCTTGGTTCCTAGGCACAGATGAGCCATCTGAAGCCGTAGCTGATTCAGAGGTCACACCTGCTGACACCGAAGCCTCTCCCTGGTCTATGTTAAAAAATGCGACAGGCACTAAACGGAGACTGTCAGACGCCGCCGAAAGTAACACGCAGCATAGTAGGCGTGTTCGCCGTCGGCAATCCACGAGTAGCGAAGGAAAGGTGGTAGGGAACGATCCAAGCGATGACAAAGAAAAGGCGGTGGAGGATATGGCTCACGAGAAAGGCGTCGGCGATGGTAGCGTACAGGCAGAAGATCAAGTTGGAGTTAAGTCTAGTAACATAGGTGCCACACGAAGATTGGAAAATGCGAGAGAGCATCGCAAGAAAAAGAAAGCGGATAGAGCTAATAATCTGAGGAAAATTATAGAAGCAAAGGCACGGGCACGGGCACAAGAGAAATCGAGAGTTGGGAGCAATTGTCAATCAGAAACGGAACAGGAAACTGACACCGGCGCCGAGCCTGGCGAGGCTAAAGTTAGTGTGGATGTTGCGGTAGAAACAGCCGGATGTGTGGGCAAAAATATGCCAAACCAGACGGCAATACTCAAGGAGAGTGTTGGTATGATTGCGCTGGCCGTGGGATATGCGAAGTCGGCAACGAAGGCAAGTAATGGAGGCGAAACAGAAGCTGAAAGTAGGGCATTGGACGGACAAGCGGAAGTAAAAGTGGAACAGACGGATGCGAAGCTGCACGAGGATGCCGGTGTCATGCAAGACATAACATCAAGAGAAAATAGGGCGAGACGAGGTACGAGTGAATCATCGCGAAGGAAACGCCGCAGAGAGGTGTCGCCAGTAGGAAGTGTGTCGGAAGGTGGCAGGAGACCTCGACGTAGGGGCGACTTTTCGGAGAGTAGTGCAACTAGTGCATCGGAGATGAAGAAAAAGAAACTACGTATGCATTCTGATCGGTCTATTCGCCGAACAAGTTCACAGTGGTCTGATGGCTATGACTGGGACGAAGCTAAAGGTGCTGTAGCAGACGGGAGTGACACGAAGAAGTCGAAGTATCCACCACGGTTGACGCGAAGTGGGAATGTTTATGGGACAGTCCAAGCTGCCGGCTCGACGGCAAGCTCTCGCACAGGTGTGTACAAATGTACAATGGATTCTGATCAAGTATCTTTAGTTTGTTTTCAATGAGAGATAAGACGATTTTATGCGTATGTCTATCGCGAGTCGGGTTAGTTAAGGAGTGAGAGATTGGGTGTGAGACCAATTTATGATGTTCGAGAAGATCGATGTGGTACGTTTGTGTCGTTTATATGTTTTGGCTCTCGTACAGCTCTACACTTCAAGTCCTACATAAACCTGTTAGTCTCGTTGGGCACACCGCCTACCTCCGTATGCTTTTGCTTTATGACCGTAGTTGCAGCTTGGTGCCACTGCCATCGCTGAATCCTTAAAATCTCAATATCGCTTAAAGTTTATTCCGAGTCTCTGAAACGTTTCATACCCAACCTCAATTACACATTCACTAGAGGATCGCGGAGTTGATAACGGGACAGAGATAAGTGGGGCAGAAGACACGACTATCAAGGAAGAGCAGACATGCACACACATATCACCAGCATCACAAAGTGATCGCCGAAGGGGTGAAGAAGCACCCGCGCATTCGAGTACAGTAATTGGGGCATCCCAGGCAATCACCCCGAATGGCAAGTCAAAGGCGCGATCGAACAATACCCTGAGAAGCAGTCAAACTAGAAAACCACCCAGAAAGGAAGCCATGAGTGCTGGACAAAAAGATCATTTAAACGACGCCTTGAATGAGCCCAAAGGTGATAGTATAGATGAGCAAGCAGCATCAGCACGAACAGATGTGCCAGACATGCTGAGATGGGCATCCATGAAGAGCTCCAAGGCGAACAAAGCACCACTACCCACTGTGGGGAAGCCAAATGCAACAACAAGACAAGCTGCATCCCTGCCAGTGTATGGAAAAGGTCTGCCAGTGCAAACAGACTCGCAGCAATCAGAGGTTGTGGGACGAGTTTCGGGGGGATTGCCGTCCGAGCACTCGGAAATAGGGCTGAGCCGGGTATCCAGCAATGGTGCACTTCGAAACGAAGCAAGAAGGAGCGAGACAATAGAGATGAAGCTGAAAGGGGATGGTGCTTCGAGTATGCATTTAGGGTCTGTCCCGCCGCAAACGGGTCCTCAGACCAACCGTGTTGGTGAGGACAAGTCAGGAGGAGAGGTTAGAGGAGACGCACCACCGGTGTTGCCAACCTCAACACGTGGTAAGCAACAACCTACTTTAATTAGCACGCCAAGACTCCCTACCCAGCGACCATTATCTTCACAACAACAACAACGAAGGAACATGGCACTACACCAGTCACATCTGCCACAACTAATTCGGCCTATATATCAAGGTCAACAGTCATTTAATCAAGGAAATCACACACAGCATCATACACAACATATACAAACTAATCTAAGGCCAATGGAACCACCAGAAAAGCCACCAACACCACAGCGCATTCAGCAGATGACTCGTATGCATCCTCCACAGTCACAGCCTGCCGGAGAAGCCATACAAAGCACGGCCGCACTTAGAGCTGATAAATTCCGTGGCAGCTACGAACAGCAATTGTCGTCAGCACGGATAAGGGAGGCGAGTGGGGATGCCACACTCCAGGAAGTGCGCATATATAAAGTCTTGAGACAAATAGAGGCGGATAAAGGCTACGAGGTGATCCACGCATCCGCTCTAAAGCGCCATAGAGAGCTGTTGTCGAGTGTGCGCTCTAGTGCACTGCCGGGCCATGGACCGGAATGGGATAGTATCTTCCGAGAGGAGATAGATAGGTATCTGTATCCCAAGTCAATGGAATTACATAGAGAAGCCAAGCTGAGGTATGAGAAATTGCATCACGATGAAGCCTTTAGAAGAGGAAGGCTATCTCATAGTTCGCCGCCCTAAGAACGTGTGAAGCGATTTATTGTGCACCGTATGCATCGGCACGTTATACTGCTAAGACAGAGGCCGCGGCTGCAAATGTGCAAAAATCTTATACGACTTTGATGAAGATCAAGCATACATCCGCATGTAAGTGGTGATCCGTATGAGAAATACGACCATATATTCTTACCATAAACAAATCCGGCCACATACATTTTTTTTAATATATTTAGAAATGTAGTTAACCGATTAGAGTCGATTCAGATCTCGGCAACACGGTGTTCACCAACTAGCATACCTACGAGGTGCCATGGCTGTATACCTGTAGCTTTGGAATCCATTTTGTGGCCGAGCCCGATAGACTCAGCTAATATTATTTGCGTTCGACTTCGCAACCGATTTCTCTCGATAGCGTATTAATCAATGTTCCCCGGATATCATTCGCTACAATCGTGCACTTTTGATGTTTTCTATCCGAGACCCCGTATATACTGTCTATAATAATTCTCTCTATTCGCACACTAGTTGATGTTGAACATGCTCTAATTTTATTACAATTGGATATTTCAAGGAGTCGGCTAGCGATATTATTTTTGCAACAATAGTCACTACAAGTTATTTTTAAGTACACAATGACTGAAACAGATTTGATTCGAATATTTTTATTCTAGCTCTCACGATGCGCGTATGAGTGCGGCAGCCATGCACATTGTATTGGACCCTATTCTTCATGGAAGAATTGGGAAGCTGATGGTAATTCCTCGTGGAACGTATTACATATGCAACGCCAAAGTTATAGAGGGGTAGCTTGATCGATGAAGCTGATTATTGCTTTGGCGTTAGTACATCGTCTAATTGGTGTTCAACATATCGTAGCGTCTCCTGAGGCACGTGAATCTGGCTAGATAAATTCGGTTTAAAAATTGCCTAATGGATCAGTCGCCTTGGTACCTGAAGAATCAGTCCAAGTTGCTAAATTCTCTAATTTCAAGTGGTGAGGGTCGAATACCCGGGATTAATTTAAATGGTGTGACCGTAATATCTTCAGATTTTCGATAGATGCCTGCAGACGGTCAACACTTACCACACTACAGTATGGAACCCTGTGACGGCACAACGGTTTTTCCGATTCATTCGGAAGAGGTGTAAAGCATACAAGTCAACACGTACAAACTGAACAGCAGAAGGGCAACCTTGTGGGCGTATCGGGTATGGAGTACCTTTGCAAAGTAGCGATGGGCCGATGGCTCTATATTCCTATAAATGGCAAAACGTTTGGACTTAGATTCGTATATATCCTAGAGTTGAATCGCGTGGTTATTGTATATGTACAGTGTAAAGTGTATGTATTCTGCATAATATAAACACGACGATCAACAATGTTTTTGAGTTTTTAATGTTTGCCAATCAATGGCTGTACAATCTTAAAATTTAAACCCTATCATACACTGCCAGTCGTTCCCAGAATCCCAGTCCCTCTCTATAGTCTATTCTCTACTTTAGATGGCTAAATAATATGTATGCCATAAAATTTAGAGATGAAGAAAATCACAAGTGACAGCCTGACCGGACACAGACGGTATCCCTGATTCCCTATGTACAGTCTTTCAGTCCTGCACCACGGGCCACGGGGAAAGCCACAGACTGACAGGTGGAAAGTTGACATACAGCCGTTGACGCGCGTACTCTTGGTTGTCTTGGTACGACACTGCTGAGTACCGACTATGTACTACTCTACTTTGTAGTAGAGAGAGTCAAAGCTAGACTTGTCTATCCTACCCATCTGCCCAATTGGGCGGGTCTTCGCACAGCGGAATATGCCTCTTAGATGCTAGTAGCCGGCTGTTTTGCATAACCAATCACATTTTAGAAACAATTATTCAAAAACCCACAGCGGTCCCATGTCCGTAAAATGAAACGGCTGCCCAATTGGGCGAAAAAAAGGGTAGGATAGACACCAGAGAGAGAGAGAGAGAGGTAAGAGTGACTACCGAGTATTTTGATATTTTCAATTTTGCAATCACTCCAATCAGTGAATCTGTAGACAATGACAATCAGTACATTGTACGCTAAATATAAATAGAGCGAACTAACTCTAGCCAGTGCTCTGTTACCAACCAAATTGCATTGTTCGACTGTGTAGAATAGCTTATTGGCTAAAGTCATTCTGGTATGTGACTGTTTTTTTTGCAGTCCTATGTTTAATTTTCAGAAGGCTATGAGTCCTATATATTTTTCTTTTAAAAAATACCCTCGTGTGGATTTCGCATTTAACACATTCCGATACCAGTTTGTTTGAGGTGTCGTCTGCCGAATGATGACTATGTATTTACCGAGTTACAAATGCCGAGTCTACCGACTGCGTTGCTCTAGTAGCCTACCGATGGTTGAAATCGCCAATAGCAACGTAGGTCTTTTAGATTGTTTTGCAAAAAGACGTGATTACAAATCGCTGCTATATACACAGCTGTGCATGATGTATTGTATAGCACAACCTAATCTGAAGAAGACGATTGTTTTACCATACACTACATCATCACACGAAAATTCTTTAACTTTGGCTCCATATACATTTCACTATGACTGACAGACGAGAATCTTGTAAGTCGCCTCGTGTCATGTCAATAAGAAAGCGATTGTTATTTTCACAGTAGAGTTTTTTTGCGCACTCTCATGTCAGAGAATCTGTATTGATATTCAAAAGCTAGATATTAATACAACAGAGGTCGTTATTCGACACTGTGGCAAATCTGGAAATCACAGGATCTTCTATCAATTTATGCTGTCAAATTGTACATTCATCTAGTGGGTTGTGAAAGTTTAGTTGTGAGCTGTACCTATTCCGTGTCTAATTTTTACACTCGTGTTATTTTGCCGCGCGCTCCAAACTTAGACTTGAGTGAAAATATCGAGTATTAATCAATGATTGTTGGAGCATTTCGTGCAAACTTCAGGATCAAAACTGTAGTTCATCTTATCCACATCTAGCAACATTTTAAATTCACCGTTGCGAATATCGTGGTATTCAAATTGCGACTCGCGACGAATTAAAGTATCTCATGAATGCGAGCGCCTCACGCATATGCTCTCACGCACTTGTCATAGATGGATCAGGCACTCTGATCTTACCTTCAGCTAGCCGCACACAGGGAACCCATGTCGATCTCGAGCAGAGTATCAGAAGTGTGCGTTCATTATATACAGATCCATCAAGTTCAGTAAACAGGTATGCTGCTTTCAAAACTTATCCACCTGCGATTGCTCGTTGGTCGGTAACTATGATTTGCCGTGTGAGCTCCGATGAAGTTGATAATTTTACATAGAACCCTCTTAGACAGCGTCACCGATTGAGTGTAAATATGTGTGCTATGTTACATGTATCTCGTTCTGCTCGTATTCAAATTGACCCTGATGCACCAACAGAAATACGCAACTTGTAGGAGGCAATTCTGTTCTTGCAGATGACTATTAATATACTGATATCTTTTTTGCTCTCATTTGTCAGTGTCGACATACTCGGCTAGACATACAACATGTTTCTTCCCTGGTACCAACATTCACTTACATACGTGTGTACGTGTACATATATATATATAATATATATATATATATATATATGTGTGTGTGTGT